AAATGATTTCCAGACTGAATTGATGAAGCTCAAAAGAGTAATTGTCGCTTTATAAATTCAATTTTATTATAAAAATAAAGGACTTCAATACAAAGGATCCCATTTTATAAAAGAGTCAAGAGGCAGTGGGACTTGAAAGATAAAGATAGGAAAATTGAGACAGAAGCGAATATTAATAGCAAAGAAATAAGAACAATAGATATTATTTGAAACCATATCTTATTTGTCTTTTCTTTCTTTTCAGGATACAATAATTCAAATCTTTATTTCATTCATATAATATAAGGAAGTTTCTGATACATGATATTATATGAACTGTAATATAACAACAATGACGAATACATTCCTTCAAGCAACTATCATATTCAGTTACTTCATTACCTCTTTCACTATTATTAAGATAACTTCTGTGTAATTTATTATAATAACACAACACAACACATTACATTTTAACTCTCAATAACTAAAGACCCTTGCGTTATCGAGACTCTGATATATTAAGGTTCTATTAATATTAGTTCATGTAATTCATAAGGAAATCCTAGTATAGTGAATAATATTAGGTTCATATAAATGACCACTAGCAAAAGTCTTAGATGTTAGGTAGATTGTTATATATGTATATATAACATGATGCTTAGTGTGAAGTTATTATTTTTTTTATATATTTGCTTTTACTTTTATTTTTAAAATGTTTCCATATATATGTAATACACATAGAATAATAAATTTAAGACTATGTTTTTGTAGAAATGGAGTGAGAGTGTGAGAAAAGTTTCTCATGTTTTTATTACAATGCATGCTGAGATAGCCTATAATTGTAGTGTACTTTGTCGCTACTTTTGTTATTGTTAATGTTAAAAAAAATTAGATCATTGTACATTATGTTGGCTTCCTATGAATTAAATAAATAAATAAATGTCATTAAATACTGTGTTATTAAATGGTCAGTTTTACCATCAGTTTGAGTCTAGTTTAATTACATCATTAACATGGTACATACTATGTATAGAAATCAGTTCTAAGTAATGTAAATATGTTAGGAGTTTAATCAACATGAGTATATAAACACAGTTACTAGAATTATTGGCCTCTCGTGTAAAATGCGTCGATACTGAATACTGTAATTGAGTTTTAACTCTTAGTATTTATTACACACTTGATACTGTAAATGCAATTATAAACAAATAATAGATGAAATAGCTACAAGTATTATAATGAAAATGTAATATTGAACAATTTTGTTTTAAAATTTAAACAATTATTCAAACAATTTGAGTGAAATACTCCAATTAATGTTAAATTTCAAAACTTCTCGTATCTGATGTACTGTTATTAGACTCAACTATGGGAAACGCGGATTGGCTGTTATTTTATTATGTACATATTATAACAATTGCAAATTTTAAAGGTTCTATTACTATATGATCACACTTTTAAAAATTCATAAACAATTATAAGTTTTAATTTCACTATATAATAATAAAAACAGTGAGTATTCAAATTCAGCGGTGTCTTTAAAATTGTATATCCTTAATTAAGTTATTTGAAAATTTATTTTTTTCAATTACTTCTGTTACATCTAAGGCTATAATTATCACAATTATTTTATCACAATAAAATCTAATTATATATCTTATAAAAAGGCTTAGAGCACGATGGTAAAGACATTCAGCCTGGAGTATCATTCCAGTACAATATATTATATGAACTGTTTTTAATGAATTAGTTACGGTAGTCACAGACGAAAGGCCTGAAAAAAACAAAAACTACTCTAAACCAATTTGATGTGTTTTAAATCTTAGAATTTATATTTAATGTACGACCTACTCGATGTAAGCTTGTACTTTACAATGGTTAGTAAAATGATAATACTGAATTTATATAAATTATATGTATCGATTGAGCATCCCCAGTAAATGTTCATCATTGTTGTGTTTGATGGAATTCTATATTGTTTAATATTTTGGATTACGGTGAGAAACAGATAAGAATATGATTCCTGGTTTGTAATTTATCCTTCTCATTAAATTTACATTGTTATATATTTCTAGTTATACATCAGCTAACTTCTTGTATAACGATAAGGAGATAAGAGAAATTATAATAAAGAATATGATTTCTTATCAACAATTTTAACACTCGTGATAAACGTAGGTACATTTCTTTTCTCGTACGGAAATGTATGTAAGCTATTTTCTGTGGAAACACGTTTATGCATCGAGGACCTATAAATTATCCATTGATATAATAAACATGAATATAATTAAACGTGTGTTTAAAAACCATTTTACTTAAATAACTTTTGAACATATTATGCAGTGATAGAAAGCATAATTAATTGTTTATAATGAAAAGCTTACTTTCTATTTTAATGTGAAAATTTTATTTTATAATTCGCTTTATTTATTTTCTGCTTGTGTACTGTGGTATCATTTAAACGTTATGGAGTTATTGAAATGAATATCAGTAAAAATAATTTTCAGACATTAAAAATTTGCGTGTTATCATACTAGCTACGTCCAAAAACACATTTACATTTTCCGTAGTTTATACTTTTTGTGCACTAACAATATTCGTCATGTTGACAAATTCGTAAAAGTTTAGAGATTCTTAATTCTTTGTATTAAGATATCTTCATTCAAATCACCGCTCATCCTATATGTACTATACAAGTATGTATCTTTAGCCTTAAATAAAATCACATCTAGTATGCATGATATATACATACAAAATGATATACTTTCAATGTCCAGGGATGGTAAATTGAATTTGTTACATATGAATATCTGATAAATATAAAAATAACTTAATTCGTGGAATCGTAAACGTCATATGTCAAACATGTTGTCTATTCAATTTGATATTATACATACAATTATGTAAAAGATAATTTTGTAGGACTTCAAAATCTAAATTTCTTGTATATTTACTGTCTGTATTATGTAAAATCTAATAAGAAAATTCTATAAACGAGACTGATAAAAAAATCTTTTCATACATTTTATACCGGTAGCTACTACTAATACCTTTAATTAGTATCTCTTTTTTAATTTATATTAATTTTTGATTTGTATATTTATTTTAAATGTATTGTTATAAGATTCTGTAATTGTCTTATCGATAAAATTGTTTACCAAAAAAGATAGCAGAATAATCTCTCAACTATTTTAGTTATGAAATGATTTCGTTTATATATGGAATAATTGTATTTGGGATTGTACGGTTTTGGCTACTTCATACATTTAATGAGATTCAGACCCCATAACGACTATCTGGTGTTGATCGTCTGATAATGAGATGAATTAAACTGACCACAAAATAAGAGTACTGAAATGAAATAGTAGTTAAAATCAACAAGTTTTTATCTTCCAAACTAATAATTTAATTAATGAAACTAAGGCTTTCGCGAGTATTCATTCCAATAAAACTAATATATTTCTGATTATAATGCGCGTATTTTACTAATGTAAAATTTATGATGATTGACATTATTAAAACAAATGTATTGTTATAATTAGGTTCGTTATGAATGGTTTATTACAGAAACCTATTTAAAATCTAATTACGGTTACATCAAATATTTAAGGTACAAGGAAAACATACTTCGTATTATCAAACAGAGTAAATTTAGATATATAAATTTATAAATCTTCAAATATTTTTTTCATCAGATATTTGGATTCATAAAAAGGGTTTTCTATGTTATATTAAAACAACATGAAATTTATTAACTTTTATATTAATTAATAAATTACTTACTTCGTTACTCTCTTACTAATTTTCTTTCTCTCTCTTACCTAAATAGTTATTTTAAGTCAAAAGTAATATATATAAAATTAAAAGGCTTTTTTATTGAATCCAACTCTAATAAGATAATTTATTGGGTAGAAATATATTTTGGTGTGGAATGAGGCAGTACTAACCTACCTCACAAGATATTTATATGGTACTAGAAGACCTAGCGAACTTCGTATCGCCCTATAATCAAGAAATATCTATTACGATTTCTTATTTATATTTTTGGAGTTTATCTCCGTGTTTTGAAGTGCGACAGAATGATTGACATATTAGTTAGTTGTCAAATCTAATGTCAAAAAAAACGTTTGTATGGGAAATAGAAAAGGGCTGTTTTTATGGTTTTCCCAGTAATGAATCAAATTTTTCAGCTTTTATACCTTCCCTGAACCTCCACGAACATTTCAAGACTAAGATAAGATAAATCATTTTTATATATATAGAAGATAACAGCCTAGTGTCCCGAGGTCATGTCATATTTAAAATATATACTTTTATATTTAATAACATACAATATTACTCTAAAATCAGTTTTTTATAGCACAATATTATTATTGAAGTTTTGGAAGTCCCAATACTCGTTTCTGTTTCAGTATAATCCGAAAATTCCGTCCTATTTTTCTAGAATCCCTTAAACCTTTACACGAGTAAAACTTTATCTTGAAGTAACAGATATAAATTTATCATCAGATGGTACAGTGGCTTCTTTTCTTAATAATATAAATGCCAATAACTTCTCTTTATAATGTAGCTTAAATTATAAGTATATATAAAAAACATATTTGGGCATACGCAGATAATTACTTTACTTCACAAAAAACAGTAAATTTTTGTCCAATTCCATTACTTTGGTGTATAATAAAAATGTACAAAACTATGTTTTGTTGTCAATTAAAACAGTTTTACATCAAAAACTGTCCGGCATTCCTTGCAAATAAAAAAGAATTTAAACTTGAAGAACGATTTCATAAAAAAATTCATTGTTCACCAAACAGTATAACTTAAAAATTTTGCCTGAATTTTGAATGTCAAATTAAATGTAAATCCTTTTAATTTTTGAAGATAACGAAATAACATTTTCATTGCAATGAATATAAGTAACTAATTAATCTGCCTGCAATAAATCTGCCTGAACCAATAATAGACTAAAGTAATAGTATGAAAGGAAATTAAAATGAAAGATTTTAATAAAGGATATTTATTTATTCTAGTTTCAATATTCTTGCTCCGTCACTCGGCTCGCACTCAAAGAACACTGGCTTACCTTTGTACTCCGCCCGGACCTTGCTCTTTATAGATGACAAGCATTCCTTCTTTACCTATAAAAATACACCAAAGTTAATATATATAAAAAACAAAATAATAACTCCACAGAAAATTGATTCTTAAGTAACACCTGCATAATATAGACAACAATGAAATAAATTTTCGTTAATTTATAACTGCCTTTTTTATATAACAAATATCTTTTATAAATGTTTCCGGGTTGTAAAATATTTAATAATCGCAACAATATTGTACAAGGTTTCTCAACGTCAAGAAAATTTCTTACATTTTAAATAAAAAATAACTCCTGTTTATCCTTAAAGCAAATCAAATGACAGACCAGATGAAAACGTCCATTGTACACAGAAACTACAAAGAAAAAACTTAAAATTGGTTTATCAAACAACTACTGTAACAAATTGTTAAAAACAGTTCGATTTCATTATACTAAAAGCATACATTCCATTAGCAGCACGTGCTTTAAATACTGCATATGATAAAACTGATTTACTTTGATGCATTCAATAGTAGTCAGTATGAGCTTAACTTACTAAGGCTATGACGCATTCACCGAAGCCGCCGCCCGTCATTCTGGCGCCGAAGACTCCGTCCGATGACCTCACGATATCAACCAGCTGGTCGAACTCGGGACAAGAAACCCCCATCAGCTTGCTCAGAGACTCGTGGGACTGATGGAACAGACGCCCTACCTGGATGAATTACACGTTACATGTTTTATATACATAGAAATAGATACAATTAACGATATAGTCGCATTTGCATTAATGATCCTTCAAGATTGAGAGGAGAAAATCTTCTACGAGTTGTGTAAATTACATAACAATTTATAATTGTACGAAATCGTGCTGTATCAATTAGATTTAGTTTGATAATAAGCTTCAATGAGTAGACTACTAAACGCTTTGCGTCAGGAAGATTCCAATGCTCCAATTCACTTCATTGCTCTATTAACACGAATTTTGGAATATTAATTACAAAATTATGAAATGTTTTATTTTCAACTGCAAGTTTATTGGAAAATAAGACGGTAAAATGACACAGAATTATACATTTGAAATATATTATCTCCGACTGAATAATGTATAAAGTTTGCCACATTAAGATTAACCCAATAAAAACACTAACACTAAAACATACTTCAATAAGTTTTCATTTGCTTACTATTGTTTATCGAGAGCTTGTAGGGATATTTACATTTATGTTTATGATTTGCATACATATGTGTCGTAAAAGATGTATTTATCTTTTACATATAATGCAGTTAGAGTATATATTGATATAAATTGGAATTCTCAAGGGGATCGCACGTGTCCAGTTGACAAACATCACCACAGATATAATGAAAGTTTTGTATGTCAATAGTGTGTCATGTTCTGACTTGTTTGCGTAATAAAGAGACCTCGTGGATGTTGAACGCACTTCATAAATTTACATTTACTTTGAAGTTACACATAACTTTAATAAAGAAATTTGATTTGGCACTTTAATGATGAATTTCTTATTTACAAATATAAACTTAAAAATAGGTCAAGCTTACATATTTCAGACTTAAACTCAGGTATTTGAAAAAGGATCTAAACTCAAATAAACTATGATACAATTTACAGAGTTTTAATTTATTTTTATTTGCTTTTGATTTAAGTATAATTAAATCTTCTTAATGCTTAAAACATACCACAGTTGAGGAAATAGGAATAACGTGAAACTTAAGAACGTTATTTAATTATAAATAAAATATAACAATCTATTAAACCTACTAACTTCCTTATAATCTTTGTTCTCTCAAAGCTGTGCTTCTAACAAGGGCCGGGCGATCTCTTTGACCACGTGCTTAGCACGTTTCAGAACGCATTTCAGTTCTATAATAAATAATAGAGCTGGATATTTCTAATTATAAATACTTTATAAGTTATAACCATATTCAAGTAACAATAGATAAACAAATTGTCGCTATATATAACATAACGATCATTCTGTAAGGAATATATACATAAATAGATTGAATGGTATTACGAATCATATTATTACGTAACGTTCCAAATGAAAGGAACCGATAACAAACTAAACGAGAAATTTGGGTGTAATGTAGTTAATAAGGTACTAAAGGAAACGATCTAAGAAATTTACCACGAAAATCCCTCCTTTGATCCTATTTAAGTAGCGAATCGAAATTAAGGGTACATATATGTATATTTGCTTTCGGAATACATAAATAAGGTATTAAACGTGAAAGAAATTATTTATATTATCACTGAAAATAAATATGAATTAGAAATAGTATATAACTGAACATTTTAGTAATTTTGAAGAATCCCCTACTTAATAGAATTAATAATAATTTATATGCCAAATAAGAAATTACCCTTCATAAGCCAAAAATTATTTTTATACGGTCTTTTTCCCTTACAACATTGGACCTAATTTTACCACACAGCAAAAAACCACCACCTGAAAAGTAGCATTTAATTTTTTTTAAAAGCATAGAAATCGATCAATCCGTTTTAAGGTTTCGATGTCTCAAATAGAAATACACACAATTGCACACGCATACACACAAAGACACATATTTTGCACAGCTATCTTTGAAACTTCAAAATTTACGAAATGTAGATCCATGATGCAGACAATAACTACAGTCTATTTTCATGGACCAACAGTGCAGCAATTTATAAACTAAGGTTTTACAATCCGTCAAATTAATGTTGTGTAACATTTACTTGCAAGATCTTGACCGGTGGCGCTCCTTAACGACGGTTTCCCCAATTCATCAGCGGCCTGCTGACACTGCGCTCTTCTCTGAGGGTATTCGCTTCCAGTTAACTGATGCTTCACATTAGAATTCACCACCAACAGAACGACGTCTGTACACTTCATTGGCACCTGTTTATACTCTAATGATCTGGAAGATTCACGGATTATGTGGTTTAGAAGAACGACTCATATCTTGTCTTTTATATAAAAATATAAAAATATTCTTTTTGTACGTGTCCATTTTTATGTGAAATGAGTATTAAAAAATAAATTTTGTATTATTGTAAATTTCAAGCCGATAAATTAGGAGAGTGTTTTATGTGATATCTGTTAAATTGTTAAAAATGAAACCTTTTTTAGTTCTTATAGTATATCAATATACATATTTTAATTGAAACTTTTCAAATGTAAGAGATCGTACATTCTACGAATATATATATATAAAGTAAGTTTAAAATAGAATATTTAAATAAATCAGTATTCATATTACATATATTTTTAAAAATTAAATTGGAAATGTTTTACAATGACTCCAACACAAAGAAATAAAGGATTAGTTTCATAAGAAAACAATTTACTTATATTTTTATTTTAATGAAATTGGTTTCATTATATTATTTATTTAAAGAAAATTTTATGTTTTTATTCTAATACATATTAATATTTTTTAAGTCAGTGGTGGCCTAGTGGTTAAAAGGCCCGCCTATCATGCATGAGGGCGCGGGTTCGATCCTGGCCCTGGCAAGTGTCAATGTGATTTTTCCGAGTCATATGCAAAGTACATAACTACTATATACTTTAAGTACTAAGTAGTAAGAGTATTTAGACTTCACTGACTAATGCATTCCCAAAGAGGGTTGATGTCAGGCAGGCGGCCGGTCGTAAAAACAATTTGCCAAAACTATTCACAGCATGTAAGGCAGACCCTGGCTAAAGCTGGGAAATTGGCAGGAAGAAAACATTAATATTTTCTAGACTATGTATGGTTGTAATGAAATTTCATAATAAACAGTTATTAAATTCTTATTTGTTTTAAATTATTTGTTGTATGAGATATAAGTGTTAGAGTTATATGAAATAAATATATTTATAATTTGCATACTTCATTCTAAATTAAAATGATAATTTAACGGAATATCTAGCGTTTGTTTTAATTAACCACTTGGTTTGGCTTTCTTTAAAGCAATAATTATTTCCAGTAGAGTGAGATGAATGTGGTTGTCTCGCAGAAAGTATAAAATAATAGTTGAGTAATATAAGAAAAATATAATTTTATTTTTATATTTGAATATCAAATTTTAGGAACTACAATTTACTTATGAGTAAAACTTTATCAGTGTGTGAATTAAATTGTGGCATGTTATAGTTTAGTAATTTATTATTTTTATTAAGTTCTACTATGAGCAATTATTAAATTAAATTATTATAATATGCAATAAATAGCCATTATACTGTTAGTGTAACACAACTTTTAAAATGAAATCTTTTTTTAATCTTAAATGAAATCTTTTTTAATTTTATTCTAATATATAATTACTCTCTAACATGTTAGTTATGTTTAACTAGTTCCTAATAAAACCAATAGCAGTTACTCCACAGCTAATACAAAAGTTGAATGTTTCATTCTGTGTCATACTCACTTAAAGGAGCCGATAACAAGCTTTTATAAAACTTATGACATATGTTTTGAAAGTTATGAAATACAAAACTATTTTTAAGTTACCTAAATAGCAGCAGAGGAATTCGTAGGAACTGGTAAAGTCAGTGTATGAGAAAGTTTGAGTGAAGTTATATTTCTACTTATATCGGCAACGGAGCTCAAATGTATACACAATATCATATTAAAAAGCGATAAATAGAGAGCTAGAACGAACAAGATTTGACTATAAAGTAAATGTAAAATATTTAATTTAAATAAGTGTAAAAATAAAATTGAATTCTTCTTAAACTATCATTAATACAAAAATGATTTTGTTAATTTACCTTAGAGTGAATATGACAGTGTGCGGAAAGGCACAATGACCGTTTATTAATATTCTAGAAATACTCGTAACTTACCTTTTGGTAGCAATTCATCGAGATTGTACATTGAATAAATATTCTCCTTATTCCACAAATTGCTTCTAGAACAGTTTCATAAACATTTTATTATTCTATACTTCCTAGTTACTCAGTAATGAATTCAAATTATTTACAACTAAAAAAAAACAGCCAGCGATATTTATAATACTGTAACAAATACTAAGTAAAGTAATCAATTGTAGTAATTACTCCTAAAGAACTTGTCTCATTAAAATATAAAACATTACATATTAAGGCTTGAGACTACACTTTTCGTTTAACAACAGTGACATGTTAAACTTCGAAACGTTTCTCTTAGTTTTGTCAACTAATGAAATGAATACATAATGCCATCTAATTAGTTATTTGAATATTCAGGAGTAATTATAACAAAGTTTTAAACAAGATAAAATAATTAAAGTATACGTTTATTAGTTTCAACAAGTTTCATATGGTCTAAATTAATTACTACTGAAAAATTCGACTTCATTTATTCCTGTTTGTTATAAAACGATTTAATTACATTGTAGTTATACTGGAGAAAGTATTTGACATTCATTGTTTAGTTCAGAGGATTTAAAATGTTCAGATATTTATTTTTATTGTCACGAAGACATTTATCTTCTTCTATATATCTATACTTATAATAAATCTGTAGAGATGTCAATTCTGTACATAAAATATATTTAAAAAGTATATTTAAAAAGTAACTATCAAGGGGTGGTTAGGGATCGCTACTGGTGCCAAAAATGCAATCAGTAAAATTTTTGTCTGTTTGTCTGTCTGTATATTCGTTATGGAAACAAAAACTACTTGCCGGATTTTAACGAAATTTGGCACAATTATTCTTCATACTCTTGGGCAGGTTAATGTATACTTTTCATTAGGCTACGATCAATAGAAGCAGAGCAGTGAAGGGAAATATTAGGAAAACGGGAGAAGTTACTCCATTTATTAAACTTCCGTCGCGTGTGCAGGCTTATAGGTTAAAGCTACATAAAAATCGTGTATGACAGAAATATTCTCCTTAAAATTATATAAAAAGTATTCCTCGACAGCATATGTCTATCTTTTTAATGCATTCCCAAAGAGAGTTGATGTCAGGCAGGCAGCCGGTCGTAAAAACAATTTGCCAAAACTATTCACAGCATGTAAGGCAGACCCTGGCTAAAGCTGGGAAATTGCCAGGAAGAAGAAGAAGATATTGTATTGTATAGAAGAAGATATTGAATGTAAGTCCGTAAATAGGAAACATTTATTTAACATTGTTTTGGAACTAAAGTCTAAAGGCTTTCAACGGATGTTTTAGTGTTTAAAGTGAAACATTTCGTAAAGGACTATGTTCTGTTTAATGAACAAGCTCTTAGATATAGATTAATGTAGACTTCACTATTCCTATTTAATTTAAAATCTTTTAAAATTATCTCAATTTTATATTTTTGATATACTTTAATATCTCGATAATTATCAGAACAGTTACATGATTGTTAGATGTAAGGTCAACAATGAAATAACATTTTGACAATTTATTCTATTAAATGTCTTACAAACTACTGCTTTACTTTATGTAATTTGATTCACATACAGGTCTTTTTTAATTTTCAGAATATATTCACAGTCCGTAACACGATCGTTTAATATTTTACGCATATGTACGTCACATGTATGTACCTATGTATGTATGTATGTATATTGTACATAAACTTCATGTCATCAATTGTAGCCGAAATCACTGACTGGCCTAATTGAAGTTCCGTTGATTGAAATTAGGAATGTGTTTTTATATTTGTTATGAATATTAAAAAATTAACAACACTTTGAGTTTTGTGACGTCTTATGTTAAATATCAATCTCAACGATTAATCTTGATGGAACTAAACTTTAAATATTAATCGAGTCTCAAGTGAAAGGAAAATTTGTCCAACATTATTTATTCAAATATCGTGGACGTCGATTCAAAGGACACTATTATTTATTCAAATTTGTTATCACGTATCATGCACACAGTGATTCAATAGAGTTACGCAATGTTCGAGAGTAGCATGCAGCTATGACGTCGCTGTGCAGCTGACCCATATAGACAGATATAAAACCAAATTTCTTTTTATGTGAAAGGTAACAAACAAGCAAATGGCCCACTCGATGCACAATAGCCGCCATCGCCCATGGATATCCATAACATGTCTTTTGTGCATTAGTCGTCAACCTTGGATTTTTAGGAAAAAGGAAGGGTGGGAAAAAGGAAATGACAGGAAAAGGTGGGAATAGTCAAAGGGCAACCGGCTCTCTCACTCATTTGAAGAAATGCATTCATCAAAGGTTACTTCACGCCGATCTTCTGTGAGAGGGTGCTACTTCCCTGATCGATTCAGCCCATTTTCGAACTGTAGTTACATGTGTACAGCTAGGCTATACCATCTTCAATTGTCATCGTTACTGGAAGCTATGAAAATTTTAATACTTTAATTTGACTATAATTAATTTGCTGAATATACAAAAAAATATATATAAACCAGCTGAAAAGCTTTACTAAATATTCGCTTGTAAGAAGTTATTGTCATCGAATCGCCAGATGTTCATTTTATTTATGAGATAAAAATACAAATAATTGTAAGAATTATCTTACTAAGCAAAACTGATTAAATAACGAATCTATTAAAACCTATTATAGTCGGGATACATAATATATATGTATACATTTTATATATATTTTATACAAATATGTTTCATTGTTATCTATTGAATAAATAATTCATCAAAAAAGCTGGGTTCGAATATTGGATATTCGACTTCTGGGATGTCGCGTCTCCGTTTCTTAAATAATAATCAGACTTACTTATGATTCTTCATTTTGAACTTAAAAATATTGCTTCCATGTCAATTATTGCTATATTTCCAATATAATTAAGACCTATGATCGATATCGCTCTTATAATAACACAGATCGAATATTTGTGAATAAAATAATATCAAAATTGTGATGTATTTTATATTACAATAATTGAAAAACAAAAGTTATGACTCTATAACATATTTATATTGTCAAAATAATTACAAGTTTTAATCAATCAGACAGTGTGAATATATTTTTGTTAGTTAAATCTAATTGTTTTACATTTCATATAATAGCAATTTTTTCTTTTCAACTTAATGTCAATAAGTGTGTAATTTAAGGATTTTTTGTTGTTATTTGGATTAACTTTTACGTTAGCAAATAATTTGTTCAAGCTTCTATTTACATTATACAAGTGATGACAACACAAACACACTGGATATTATATTTTATATGAAGCCACGCGGCTGTATGACAATTTATACTCACACACGTGGAATACAAAGTTACTTTATTTATATGAAGCATTTGAAAAGAAATTGGAATACATATGCAGATTTTTAATAATAGTACGTACGAGTATACAAAAAATAACCAATTTATATAAAGTAGGCAAATAATAGTAGCACAAAATATATTTTATTTACCTATAAATATATTGTTTTTTGATTCCAAATAGAAATAAGTAAAATTACGATAAAATTCATACTATCCAGATTTTTTCTTCTAACATTATGTTGTATCTTTCCCAATATAAACATGGACTCTAAAGGAATTTTTTTTTTCTATAAAATAGATTTCTACGTGTTTATATATTTTTGTGTAGTTGTTGTTTATTGAAACTGATTTGATGAATACGAAGAACCCTTAATATTTCACTAACCAGAAGAGGAATTAAAATAAATATAAACAGTAACATTTCAGAGCACATTGTATTTGTGTGTCGATTTTTTATTTGAAATATAAATATTAGAAATGATTTCCAATCTGTGAATTGATGAAGCTCAAAAGAGTAATTGTCACTTTATAGATTAAATTTTATTATAAAAAAAATAAAGGACTTCAACACAAAGGATTCCATTTTATAAAAGTGTCAAGAGGCAGTGGGACTTGAAAGATAAAGATAGGAAAATTGAGACAGACTGATAGCAAAGAAATAAGTAACATTAGATATTATTTGAAACCATATAATTTTATACCTTATTTGTCTTTTCTTTCTCTTTAGAATATAACTATTCAAAACCTTATCACATTCATATAATATAAGGAATTTTCTTTTATATGATATTATATGAAATGTAATATAACAACAATGACGAGTAAATTTCTTCAAGCAACTATCTTATTCAGATACTTCATTATTTACCTCTTTCACTATTATTAAGGTAACTTCTGCTTAATTTAATGTTATAACACAACACAACACATTACATTTTCACTCTCTACAACTAAAAACCTTTGCGTTATCGAGACTCTGACATATTAAGATCTATTAATCTATTAATATTAGTTTTTGTAATTCATAAGAAAACCACAGTATAGATTATTTTTCTAGTTTTCTTACATTATTAACATGGTACATACTATGCATGGAAATCAGTTCAAAGTAATGTAAATATGTTAGGAGTTTAATCAACATGAGCGTATAAACCTAGTTACTGTAATTATTGCCCTCTCGTGTAGAATCCGTCGAAACTGAATACTCTAATTGAGTTTTAGTTCTTAGTTTTCATACAAACTTAATACTGTTAATTAAATTGTACACTAAGAATATATGAAATAGTTACATTTATCAAATATAATATTAAACAATTTTGTTTGAAATTTAAACATTCATCTTTCTAATTTATGTGAAAAACTCCAGTTCCTGTTAAAGTTCGTAACTTCTCGTGTCTGTTGGTATTGTTAATAGACTCAACTATGAGAAACACGAATTGGCTGTTATTTTATTGTGTACATATAACAATTGCAAATTTTTATGTTGTCTTTGAAATTTCAATGTTAGTCTCTATTATAATCATACTTTTAAAATTTCATAAACAATTATAAATTTTAATTTCATTATATAATAACAAAAAACAGTGAGTATTCAGATTTAACATCTCGTAGTTATTGAGCATCCCCGGTAAATGCATATCGTTGTTGTGTTTGAGAGAATTCTATATTGCTTAATATATTGGAGTACGATGAGAAACAAAGAAGAATATGATTCCTGGTTTGTAATATAGGTATCTATAATTTTACATCAACTAAGTTCCTGTATTACGATAAGGAGATAAGAGAAATTATAATAAAGAATATGATTTCTAATCAACACTTTCAACATTCTTGATAGACGTGGGTACATCGCTCTCTCGAAAGAAGTCTATATCAGCTATTTTCTATGAAAACACATTTATACAACCAATTTATTAAAAATATACATTGATATGATAAACATTAAGATTTTTAAATGTGTTTATACAATTAATTTTATTTGAATAAATGTTGAACGCATTATACAGGACCATAAAGTGATAGAAAGCATAATTAATTGGTTATTATGAAAATCTTACTTTGTATTTTATTGTGATAATTGTATTTTATACATCGCTTTGTTTAATTTCTGATTATCTAATATGGTGTCATTTAAACGTTATGGAGTTATTGAAATCAATAATATCATAAAAGTATCAGTGAAAAAATGTTTTATGAGAGATTCAAAATTTACGAGGTATTCTACCAGCCACCAACAAACACACATTCACATTTTTTGTAGTTTTTCTTTCTTCGCCCTAGAAATATTCGCAATGTTTAATTCCGTCAGTATTCTATAGATTTATAATTCAATGTATAAGACTTACATTAATCCATATTTTAAGTATAATTATTTAAAAAATATTTTTTTTATTTAAATCACTGCTTATTTTATAAGTACTAAAGAAGTACTTATAAGAAAAGCATTCTTTAGCTTTAAATAAAATTACATCTAGTATTCATGACATATACAGGTCATACAAAATGATGTACTATCAATGTACAGGAAGGGTAATTAGAATTTATAACATCTGAATGTCTGATAAATACAAAAATAATTTTATTCGTAAAATTGTTACATTACTTGTCATACATGTTGTCTATAGAATTTGATTTTAGAAATACAATTGTTTAAAAGATAAATTTGTAGGACTTCAATATTTAAATTTGTTATAGATATACATATCTACTGTCTGTATTGTGTAAAATAAAATAAACAAAATGTATAAATGGGACTCATTATAAAAATCTATTCAAACATTCTATACCAATAGCTACTACTAATACTTTCTAATTAGTTGATCTTTTCTTTTTTTTTTATCTTGTTTATTTTATAATTCATACATCCAGAGATTAAGGCGACTTAAAAATAATAACAAATAGAAAAAAAAATTCTTATACTGTAGGTGTTAACATTTGAGATTACTATTTAATGAGCATTTTTATAATAGTCAGATCTAAGATTCAATGAGTCTATGATGAAACTTACAAATCTACCACTATGTTCGGCAGTGAAACTTGAACTTAAGATTGGATGGAGAGAGAAGAGAAGCTCACCCCTAGAACATCGAGTTTCATTTAAGAAATCCAACCTAGATTTTTCGTTGATTTTACACTCAAGAACTAAGTGTAGGAGGTCCTCCTCTCTCTCACATCGTTTACAGTTTGGATCGTCTCTTTTTTTCATGATGAAGTTAAACTTGTTAAGTGGGATGTGATAGGTACGGGTTCGGAAGCAAATAGTTAAATATTTTCTGTTGAGGTTTCTTGAAGCAAACCAGGGTTTGCGAGGTGGTTCGTCTACAATGCTTCTGTACCAGAGGCCCCTGTTTTGAGAGCACTCATTAAAATAAGATTTAAATTTAATATAATTTTCGTTTTTAATTTTTGGAAAATGGTCAGTATTGTGCGTTGTGATATCGAGAGGTATGCCGTTCCGTAGAGCTTTGGATGCAAGTGAGTCTGCTACCTCGTTGCCCCTGACGCCCACGTGTGAAGGAATCCATTGTAGACGAACTTCAACCCCGTTACGTGTCAATCTATAGATACATTTAATAATGAGGTAAGATATTTCTTAATTTATATTAATTTTTGATTCGTACATTAATTTTAATTCTGTAATTGTTTTATTGAGAAAATTGTTTAGAGGTGGTAGAGCCTAGCTGTGGTCAAGTTACTACAGCTCGAACATGGGCTGGCTCGACCGGGGAAGTACCACCCTCTCACAGAAAATCGGCGTGAAGTAGTCTTTAATGGCTGCGTTTCATCCGGTGAGTGAGAGAGCCGGTAGCCGGTTCCCTTTTCCCACCCTTTCCTGCCCTTTCCTTTCCCTCCCTTTCCCACTTTTTACTCCCCATTTTCCCCACACAAGGGCGGCAACACATCTGCATATCTACGTTGCAGATGTCAATGGGCGAGGGTAACTACCTACCATCAAGTAGGCCGTCTGCTCGGTTGGCCCCTTTTCCCATAAAAAAAAAGAAAAAAAGATAGCAGAATAATATCTCAACTATATTTTAGTTATTTATATAAGGGTTAGTCATATTTGGGATTGCACGGTTTTGGCTACCTCATTCATTAAATGAGATTCAGATACAATAACGAGTATTTGGTGTTGATCGTCTGATAATGAGATGAATTAGACTGACCACAAAATAAGAGTACTCAAATGAAATAATAGTTAAAATCAACATGTTTTTATTTTCCAAACCGTTTAGTTTAATTATATCAATTAATAAAATGTGCGAAGATAGTAACTCTTTATCTCGAATTAAAATCACTAATAATCTTTTTTTTCTTATCCTGTTAAAACTTACAACATAAACAAAACTTTATCTCTAATTTCTTTCTCCAAAATACTCTGATTTATTAACCAATAAACGACAGGTCATGTGTATTAGCTACCCAGCCTATATACATAGTTGACTAATAAAATCGGTGCAATAAAATTACTACCTTCTCATATGGATATTGAAAAGAATATCAAACTTTCTTCAATACAATCTTATTTTTATAGTCACCATGAAATGTCACAGGTCCTTGTATGTGATCATGAAATTCTTTGTTGTTCGAGGAATTCCTTTGTAAGCTTGATATCTTTTAATTTCAAAATTTCCCTTAATATTCAAGCCACGTCTCCGGTTTCATATTCAGTTCTGGAATACCTTATATTAAAAAATATCAAATATACATGCATGAGGTTGTTGAAAGTTTAGTCACAATTATTACACTTTTTTTATGATGACGCAGGGAAATTCCTTTTACGAGCCGTCCAACCGGCCTTGGTGGGACCGGAAGGGATGTGTGAGGCTCGACCTGGGCAGGCCCCTACTCACTAAAATCACTGCAAAAGCCATCGGCCGCTATGTTGATGTACTCCGGATCTGTCAGGGCACACCAGCGACTGGCCGGTCGTGGCAAAGACCGGACTTACACCCTCGGAGAATGGGGGCGATCCCGGCAATTAGGAACGGTTGCCCTTTCCCTATTCCCACCCTTTCCTACAATATCCTTATTCCCACCCCTCCCTATCCCTATAAAACAAGGTTGGCAACGCATCCGCAACATCTTTGTTGCGGATGTCAATGGGCGACGGTAACCACCTTCCATCAAGTGGGCCGTCTGCTCGTTTGCCACCTTTAACATAAAAAAAAAAAAAAAAAAAGGAACAATAATTATATTTAGAGTTATCAACTGGAACTGTCATTGTTAAGAATTAAAGTTTTATTCATTGAATACAACCCAGAATAATATTAAATTGTCTAGTATTTGGGTTATGTATTCATTCATATTTCTTAAATTCTTTCTATATCCTATATTTCTTTCTCCAGCTGAGTCTTTTCTACATATCTATATCATGTATGGTGCTGTCAGTTGTTCAGAGAACACTCTTGGGATGTCCGAGGTCAAGTCAATATTTATTTGTGAAGTACGGTGTTGACATTAAGAACACTTTGGAGGTTGAAAGGTTGAGAAAATTGTTATATTGTATTTACAATGTGGATACTGTAGGAATATTAAAAAATGGTTTTCTTACATAAAAAAGTAATGCTGACAAATTTAAAGTCTTAAACAGCAACTTATTACAACTACCAAGTAAAACTTCTACTCATTTAGACTGTTCTTAAATAAATAAAGTGTTTACTTAATAATGTCACCTTATAAGAAGCGAGGGATTTTAATTTTTTTTAATATTGCGTTAGAAGGTAAAGCATGAATTTTACTATATCTATTTAGATCTCAGTATACGAAACTTTTAGTAAAAGACTTGGTAGAGATTTAAGTACTGAGATGCTTTGATGATCGACGTTTTCTTTATTTCACACTAATTTTAATGTGATTCTTTAAATTAAATATCTCTCAGTCACTTTTCATAACTTCTATAGTTGTGGCTGTTGTTAATTCAAACAATATAGACAAATTACTACTTCATGCCTAGCTAATCTTGTACAATCTTTCCGTCACATAGTATAAATGTAGTCAATAATATAAAATAGGAAATATTAAACATATGTTTGGATATTCAATTTTATAGTACTAATACCATCAGAGTGTTTAAACTTAAACTCCAATTTTTCTTTAAGAATTAAGTGTTATAATTATTATCTTATGACCTTTGGAAATAGTAACGCAATGTAAGAAAATAAAAATATATTTAATTGAGTAAATTTAGTAACTAAGTATTAATAGCAAGTTATATTACAGCGTCAATATGTGTACTGTTTCATTAATGACTTGTGACGCTAGCAACATTATTTACACACGACTTAGATGTTACATTTCTAACGACTTGAATTGAGATTTGTTTGTGTTTGATTGTTATTAAAATTTCAAAATACGAAGAAGGCTATTTATTAAACAATCTTTTTTTTTAAATAAATCATTTACGTAAAAATATTACATAATTTTATTTTTAAACCATCTATTAGTAAGATCGTAATAAAATATTCAAACTATTTAAGTGATTTTGAAATAGGAATAGACCAATCTCAATCTTTAACCTCAAACCTTGCCCACTCGAAGTTATAGTAAACAAGAGAAAATTTGCTCATTTTATTAACTATTATAAATGTGTTCATTTAAACTCTAATGTTCTCAAACTTGGAACTCATAAACTTCAAAATTAATGACAATTAAGCAACCTATGACTATATAGTGACTATCCACAGACAGTCTTACCATTTTTTTCAAATAAAGTTGGTTCATTATCATCTTCTTCATTTTCATTATTAATTAGAATATTATTCATTCAATAGTGACTACAATATGCTTAGACTAAAGGGCTTCTTTGAATATGAAGCCTTGGTACTGTTTCATTCATAAAACACCGCACATAACAGTATTAACGTAGGTTGGCTATAGAATGAGAAACAGTTTCCATGTTCATAATAAATAATACGCTTTGTCAGTTTTTGTCAGTTGACAAAGCGTATTATGTTTTATGAACATAGAAACTAGAACTATGCATACAAGGATCTTTTGATAAGTTTTTAATAATTTTAATTTCATTTTGATACTTCATATCTAATGTCTTAATGTTTATATGTATGTACATTTTAACAACTTATTCATTAATGACAAAATAATTGTCATCAAAGAATAGGCTGAAATTAAAAATTGTTTCAATTAAAGTAGACTTTATTACTTGGGGTAAATCTTTTTACAAAATAATTCATAGCTACCAATGACTATTAAAATTATAGCTACTAATATTCCAACCAACTTAAATAATTTAAGTGACTGATCCATGACATACGAGGAGAAGTATTATATATTTATATTCGTACAAGTCTCTATCGTTGAACTCTATAATAATAACATATTTCCTGGAATGTTATTAGTGTATTTTAGTTTGAATCACTGATAAGGCTTTTGTTAAATGGGTTAATTGTGTTGTCAGTGAGTGTTGTGAGGGGAAAGGAACGATTCATCTGTATTAAGTATCAGTTATAATAGCATTTATTGAAGACATCTTTATTACTGTTACATAGATGACACGATACACAGAATTATTTACTTTATTTTTTTATACTTTTTTGGGGATACGAACGGAATATAGTTTTTCTGACAATGTAGTGTCATAAAAACTTGTTTTAAATAGCCTTAAGTGATTTGTAATATACAAAAGTTTATCGCAGACGCTTATATAATTGTATACGACTTTATTTATTATTATATTGATATAATTGTATACGACTTGTAGAAATGTTATTTGCAAAAGGGTTAGAAAATCCTTCGTTAATTATCGTTTGAACTTCTAACCCAGGTCTTCCAACAAAAAGATGTTCGAAGTTAACTATGAGATACTGTAGTTATTCTAACAAATACTTCATTGTACAGACTTTAAGGAAGTTACTAATTCGTGTTACCTGCTCTTTTATTCAGTGCCAATATATGTTTATCTTTAAAAAATTCCGCTACTAATACAATATCAGATTAATAGATCATTATCTTCTTTAATATACATATGTACATTTCACAATACATATATGTACTATACATTGACCTTTATTAATTGATTTTGATTAAATCAAGTGTTACAAATTAGTTTCCAACATATACAAATATATACATATGCATAGCAACACATACGTATTGGAAACGAGAAAATGACAAACGTTTATACCATAGAAACAATTTCTTTATAGATAAGACGAAAATGAAAGTACAGAAAATATATACAGAGTCAGTATTCTTGGTTAAAGAAAAATGACAAATAATTTTATCTTTGGTACGTAGTTTTAAAAATTAAGATATTATGAACTTGAGGTGATCATAAAATTAAAACACTTTGTTGATAACCGAAACTATTATAAATACAATTACAAATATCATATTTCGTTAAAGTTAAATTAAACCATAATTGTTTGTTAGGTTCGATAAGAATAGAAAGCAGTTCAATAAACTCAATGACTGTATGATATAGCATATACTAAGTCATTTGATTAGAATTTGGCCTCACTTCAAAACAAACAGGAACAATCTTCAGAGATTGTGGTTCCAATTACTTGAGTCAACATTATTGCACTGTTTTCTTGTTTATCGATACGTGTCTACTTTCGCTAACGCCTTATATTTTTAAAGAAATAGTTTCATAATGATAATATTACTTAATTGTGAAAACAAAATTAACTTCTGTTTATCCAAAACTTTATTACTCTAAAAGAGAGGTACAATAGTTTAATTATTTTCGAGAGATCAGAAGTAACTTTTAACGATAACGATTCAGAATCCTTAACTTCATACAAATAACTCCGAGAACAAACCGGTAATCCATTTATTAAACTGTGAAAGTTTTAATAAGTACATATGAAATGCGGTTTATTTTTGAATGTTTATTATAAGTTGACTGTCAACTATGATAGTATCTTCAATAAACCTTTCGAATATAACATGTTTGTCACCTGAAGTATTATAATAATATCTTCGTAATTTTCATTCACAGTAAAAATATGTATTTCATTCAGACTTAAATAAATCAAAATTTTCCTTGTAACATTTTATCTTTCAAGCAAATAATTCTATAAACATTGTGTAATGTGATCGTGAGAAATATAATTTGTAAGTATTATTAAAATTGTGTAATATTTGTTGCAAATATTATATTAATTTGACAAGAATATATTTATATTCATGTGGGATGTGAAAAACAGTATTAAGTACATTCTTTATACCAGCGATAATATTGAAGTATTATACATTTAAAAGCTTTGAATTCACTTCCTAGTAATCAAAAGGAGACTTCAAAATTATTTTGTCACACAAACTGATTCTCTCTATTTAAAATATTAATCAATCAATTAATGAATTATATTCAATGAATTTGGGGAATTAACATTTTTTTAAAGTATTCGATACATATCACACAATTTTGTTCAGAGGTATTGAAATTTCAAGGATTGCTAGCAATAAGTGTTCAATTTTATATATTTTATTTGATCGATCGAATCTATTTCAAATATTTAATTCATATAATATTAAAAATAATATCTAAATTTCGAAATGTTTTCACCCAAGTTTCATTCAGTGAAACCAAACACAACGTAATATGCTTAAAATTGTTTTGCAAACAACGCTAATACTTTGAGTCTTCCGAGTCAGAAATTTGTTTCAAAGAATTAGATATTGTTTATCATGTTTGGTTTTATTTATTCCAAGGAAAGTTTATTATGAAAGAAATATATTTTATTACACAACACTATAAACTGTGTAATTTTTTAACTCTGATTAAATTCAACATATATGGATAACTCATTATATTTGGAAGCAATTTAGAGCAAGTCCAAAAAAAAAAAAAATTGTTCTTGATCAATCTTGTTGATGTAACATCACATATTCAAATAAAAAATAAACATTTATAAGTGCCTCAATATCAATTCAAATAAATTAACCTAAATAATATAGTCCAATACATACCGTCTTTAATGTCATCAAAGATTGTCGAGAACACGTTCATTTTATTGATTAAGCCTTCGATAAACATAAATCAAAATAAAATATGAAGATGTTTTTTTGGCTATAATATGAATTTATGACATGAGCAAAATGTGTTAAACATAAAAATAAATATATGAGAACATCTGGTACATATACAGAGCGCTTTTGAATTATAATAACTTTACTGTTATATGCAGCTAAAGTACTTTAATTCGACACAGTTTCACAACTATTTATAACACTTGCTTTTACCTCTTAAGTTAGATTTAAATATTCGTCATTCTATTACAAGTTTAACTACATAGTATATATGTATCAATTAATACTTATTCCAGTTCAAAAATATTCGCGGAACGTTACCATGAAGGCGGTAACATAGTAACAAATTAACTTCTTTTAAAAAGTTAAGAACTTTTGTTTATGTAATTTTATTTTATGTAGTTGGGAATCAAGTTCATAATACTATTCCCGTATAAAAATTTAATATATTACAACAGAAACTATTTCAATAAACCGCCTGAAGATTGATATTATTTAATATTGATATAATATGGGGTTCAGATACTTTTACTTAGATTCTGTTAAAATTTTATCTCATCGTTTTTTATTTTATACATTTACTAGTTCGTGTATTATTTTTGTGTAACAGTATCTAGTAGTGTATGTTTAGACTACTTATCTTCGCTAAATATCCAATTTCTAATCTTACTTTTGTTATTTGTTTCATTTAACAAACTTTATAAAGCGCGTCACAGATTTTAAATGAAAAAACATTAGTTTGTAAATATTTTTAAAGAACAAAATACCTCCGACGTAGGCGACTCTTATCTATATTGCAAAACTCTAGAAAGATAATGAAAATAAGATAAATACAATCAGTTCAATTTGTTGAAACTAACTTAACTCATGTAATATTAATAAACGATAAAATTTATATTTTTAAGAAGCGAAAAATATCCTCTTGACGCAATCTTTTCTTCATCAGAAGTGAATATTCTCAAACAATTCTAAGTCCAACATTTACAAATATAATAATAAGGATATCGTTAATGAGTATCAGTCACTCTATAATAATTAATTCACTTAATTTTCAAAGCCTTCCTATTCAAATGCGATTAACAGAAAATACAATGTAACCACGAGCTGGGAATAGTAAAAGCAAACCAATTTGACAAATCCTATGTCACATGCGAATTTCAAATAACATAAATGAATTTAAAACTACCAATTTGAACGTTGTCCTATCATTTTATGATTAATAACTCAAAACTGGGAACGTTTAATTTGAAGTTTCAAACCTTTACTAAGTGTACAGAGTAACAAGCTTAGTTTGTAAAATTATATATTAAGTAGGTTTTGCAAACAGCTTGCCAAGTATTCCAAGGATGAAACTCAAAGAAATTTGGCCTCTCTAAACTCGTAATGAACAAATACAATCTTATACTTCTATAATACTTGAAACTATGATGTTTAAAGTTCTTGTAAAGAATATTAAAATGATGTGGAAAAATATGTTTTAACTCTTAATATATACGATACAAAACAAAACAAAAAAAAATATGTGTCGTTTTACTAATCCACGATGTCAAAATATCAATTTAATATTACATAAGAA